CCAAGGGCCTCCCCGGGCCCAGACGGCCTGCCACCCTCCCTCCCGGGCTGCTTGTGGAGCAAAGGAAGGGCTCTGGTCTGATGTCCTCCAGGCTGTGCATGGTGGGGGTGGGGCACTGGGTGGGCTCCAGTCGTGACACTGAATCTGGGGACCCGGACCCATTACACCGTCCTTACCGTGTGGCCCCAGGCAAGTCCCCTGACTTTTCAGACTTAAGTTTCTTTCTTTCCTTTCTTCCTTCCTCCCTCCTTTCCTTCCTTCCTTTTGGCTTTATTAATTGAAAAAGTGTCATATAAAACCAGTAAGTGGACTGGAAGGGGAAGGGCCCCCTCGCCCCTCCCACCAGACCTGTCCCCCCACAGGATCATCGTTGGCCGGCTTCCTTCCAGTCCCTTTCCGTGGGTTTACACCTGCGTGGATGCACCTGCACGAGCCTGGCTCTTTCCCTCCCAACCTGGTTTTTTACACTTGACTCGTCTCGGAGACCTTTCTGGGCCGTTACCCGTGTGACCACTGCACTCTTTCTGGCAGCTATATAGTATTTTCTAACAGAGACGCACCATGGCTTTCACGACTGTGACCAGCGCTGTGAACCTGGGAGCTGCAGGGGAACCTGAGGACCCGTGTGTCCTTGCCCTGTTCAAACCTGCTCTGGGGGCCAGCTTCTTCCCGGCCCTTTCCCAGGGGACGTCTCAGGCCTCCACGCTGTTTCTGGCCCCTTCCAATGACAAAAGACCGTCTCGGCGCACTAGTTAGTACATCCAGTCCAGCGTAACAGTCAAAACTCCCAGCTTCATCGGGAGGAAAGTTCCCCCCCACCCCCCGAGCTCAGCGGGAAGGGGCAGGGAGTGGGCTGTTCTCGGTCACTTCTCCTGTCCCCCCTCCCTCCCCCCCCAGCTCAGGATGGGCAGGGACGTCACAACAGGACCTTCAGTAGTCAACACAACGCACAGCCGGACTTGATCTGTAATAGTCAGTTAGTATTCGGCCGTTTGCTCCCGTAAGCAAGACTGACCAATAGATACACATTCTCCTCTCCTGGTTGGGGACCATTAAAGATTCGGGAAGCTTTTGGCAAAAAGCTCTGGAAAACCCTGGAATCCTGTCCACAGTAAGGTCGGGGGAGCCCGTGTGTAGACGCGCCCGGGCCCGGTGCCCGTGGCTCTGGTAGCGTTGAATATGCGCTTCAGCCATCTCGAGTCTTTCATATGTTCCCAGACAAATCGCCCGTTTTGTTTTGGTTTTTCACATTTATTAGCATAAAGTTATACATAATGTTCCCTTATAATTAAAAGAAAAATCTCACCTGCACTCGCGGGCAGCCTCGGGTCTTGTGGAGCCTGTTCAAGTCTGGGGCTCTCTTTAAGAAAAAAATTCAAAATCATGAACGCAAGTTTAGGCGTCAAACTGAATACTTAATTAGAGTGAGGGGGGGGAATCAGAAAAAATTAAAATTTTAAGTAAGCCGACAAATACTGCAAACCACAAAGTCCAGAAAAATAACACTTGAAAAAAATACCCTGTATTCATTTTCTCCTACATTTTTTGACTCCATACTCTCTGAANCACAAAGTCCAGAAAAATAACACTTGAAAAAAATACCCTGTATTCATTTTTCCCCTACATTTTTTGACTCCATACTCTCTGAATACCTCTTTGTATGACAGTAATTTAAATATTTTTCTACAAAGTAGGAAGTTTCTCGGTCTCCTCTGGCATACTTGATTGCATTTAAAACTCTTCCTGCCCTGGCGGGTCTGGCTCGGTAGATAGTGTCGCCCCCAGACCGAAGCGTCCTGGGTTCAGCTCCGGCCAAGGGCCTGCACCTCAGTTGCAGGCTCCATCCCCAGCCCTGGTCGGGGCTCGTCTGGGAGGCAACCGATCGTGGGTCTCTCTCATCAATGTTTCTCTCTCTCCTTCTCTCCCTCTCCACTCCCACTCTCTCTCTGAAAAGCAATGGGGAAAACATCCTCAGCCGAGGATTAAAAAATAAATAATTTTTAAAAAAATAAATAAAAATATCTTCCTTTGAAAGAAATTCCGATTCGCAGAGAATTACAAAGCAGAACAGAGCACCCGAGCGCGCCTCACCCGTGCCCCATGATAAGCCCTTGCAGAACTGTGGTGCAGTATCGGACCCGAGAAACGGGCTTGGGCGCCGCGTGGCCGAGCTCCCCGCCCGCCTGCGCCCGTCCCGCGCTCGGCGCCGCGCATTTCATCGCAAGCGCAGGTCCGCGTAACACCATCGCCGCGCGGAACCGTCCTGTCGCCTCAAAGGTCTCCCTCTCGCTTCCCCTGGTGGCCCCTCTCCCCACCACGGCCTGGTCCCTGGAAATGTCCAAACGTCACGAGCATGGAACTGTGCGTGTGACCTCAGGGCCTGGCCCCTCTCGCCCAGCACCCGGCCCGGTCCGAGTGGTTCGCTTCCTCCGGCTGCGTCCCCCGGAGCACGGGTGACCGAGGCCCTTCCAGCCACCCGCCCGCTGAGGGAGGCTTGGTCGTCCCCAGTTTGGGGCGATGACACATAAGCCGCCACGACCATCTGTCACCGGCTTTTGTGCGGACACAGTCCCCATTCCCCGCAAGAAGCAGTGGCCGGGCCCGCGCGGGACGCCCGCAAACCGCCCTCCGAGCGGCTGTTCCCTTTACCTTCCCGCCGGCAACGTGCGCCAGGGCTCGTTTCTCGGCTTCGTCGCCAGCGTGTCGCGTTGTCCCTGTTCCTTATTTCAGCCGTACTAACAGGTGTGCAGGGACATGTCACCGTGGGCTTGCCCTGCATTTCTCTAGCGGCCAGGGATGCGGGTGGTTTTTCACGCACTTATTTTCCATCCGCACATCCTCTTAGGTAAAATGTCTCCCATTTTCTAACTGGATCGTTGGCTTGTTTCTGTTGCGTTTTGAGGGTTCGTTACAGATTCTCCATAGTCTTTTGCCAGATACGTGGTTTGCAAATATCTTCTCCCAGGCCGTGGTTGGTCTTTCACTCTCAAGAGGATCTTTCACAGAGCGAAAGTTCTGCATTTTGGGAAAGTTCAATTTATCTATTTTTTTTTCCACTTGCAGGTCATGCTTTTGGGGTCAAATCTAAGAACCTGTCACCTACCCTACCCCTGGGGCCCAAAGATTCTCGCCTTCATTTTCTTTAAAAGTTCCTTAGTTTTACATTTAAACCTAGGGTCCATTTTGAGCTCATCCTCGCACCAGGCGGGCCGGGTCAGGCCAGCCGGCCGTCGCTGCGGCGGGAGGTCGCTGCAGGGGCTGTGGGAAGGCAGCTTCTCCGCCGCGAAGGCCTCTTGGGGTAGATGTTGCCAGATTACGCATCCCGTGTCATCAGAAAGCATGGCCATAAATTAGGCGGCTCAGGAGCATGGGGTGTGTAATAATTAAGTAATAAAAGTCGCCACAGGGGTAAAGGGACAGGAAAACAAAGAGCCCTGTTTGTGGATGTGTGCGGGAGGCTTTGGGAAGAGACCTCTGAGCAGGTGGTGTTTCAAAGCCGCTGGACCCCCATTCACACAGAGCCGGGGTCAGCCAGTCCCTGGGAGGTCCGCGCCGGGAAACTCCCCGATTTTTAAGTGTTGACAGTGATTTCAAAGACTTTGAGGACCACCGTGCAAAGCCCCAGGCTCGAGGCCTCGCTCTCAGGTCCCAGCTGCACGATCTGGGGGTGGCTTCTCTTCTCGGTGCCTCTACTTCCTCGCTCCCTGCCTGTGAAGCAAGGTCACGGGCTACGATCAGAGGCTCCCAACCTTCCGGGGGGCACACGCACCTCTGAAAACGTGACAAGCCGTGGGTCCTCCCCCCAGACAAATGCCTGTGCCCACCCGCTCAGAAGGCTGTCTGCACCTTCAGGGACTTCGGGGGGCTCAGGGCGTCGGGCTGTGATCTCCGAGTGGGGGTCCTGAGCCAGGCACCTCCAGACCCACCCACTAGGAGCACGCCTCTGACAAGGTCCCCAGGGGTCGGTCACAAAGGAGAGCGTGCGACCCCCTGCCCTGGGGCTCCTCGGGCTGTGAGGGGCTCTGCGGTTTCCCAGCAAAGGGCCCGCTCTGAGCACCCCCAGCCGCGCAGCAGTTTCTGTTGGTGTTTCCCAAAGTCTGCGCTGAGGAACCCCTGTGTTTCCGTGTCCTGGGGCTGCCAAACAAACTGCCACAAACTTGGTGGCGTAAAATAAAGGAAATATATTCTCTCTCAGTTCTGGAGACTAGAAGTTTAAAACCAAAGTGTCGTCAGGGCCGACCTCCCCCTGGAGGTTCCAGGAGAGGATCTTTTCCTGGCTCTTTCCTTCTGGCTTCTGAGCCCCCAGGCGCTCCTCGGCTGGTGACAGAGCCACCCCTATCTCTGCCTGCGTCCTCGCATCACCCTCTCCCCTTCCCTGTGTCTCTCTTCTGTGCATCTCTTATAAGGACCCCAGGCATTGGATCTAAGGCCTATCCTAAAGGCATGTACATGATTACTTACCCCATCTTGAGATTTTTAACTTGACTCTATCTGCAAAAGCCCTTTTTTCCAAATAAAGTCATATTCACAAGGTTCCAGGAGCAGAGTTCAGGGGTCAGTGGATGGACAATTACTAAGAGGAGCCGTCAAGGGTGGGGGCAGCCTTGCGAAACTGACTTAGAGGGTCCTCAGTGAAGGCAGGGGTGGGGGACTGGCTTCGCGGGTTCTTTGCTAAGACTGGCTTCAGGGGGCCAAGAATGGAGCCCAAGGACAAGGCCTAGTCAAAGAGAGGGTTCCAAGGAGCCCATCTCAGACTCGGTGAAGGGGACCGCCTTTGTCACGCTCTCAGACCCAGCACTCGGCTGGTGTGCAACCAAGGTTTGCTGAATGACTAGTGCATGGCATCCACTCCTTCCTCAGCTTTTGAAGGCTGAAGAGAGCCTCTCGCAGCCTTGGGGAGAGGGACTTGCCCTGCAGCCTGGACAGTGGGGCGGGTGGCCTGAGGGAGGGTGCCCCGGCCCTTCCAAGACCTCACGGCCGCCTGGACTTCCTCCCCGCAGGCCATCCACCCCCTTGTTCGACCTGCTGCAGCACCGGTATCAGCAGCTATGGATTCAGGAGCAAAAGGCCGCCCAGAAAGCCATCAAACTGGAGAAAAAGCACAAGGTAAGGGCAGCCTCGCTCCCAAGTGGCTGCGTGGCCGGGTGGCAGGGCAGGAAGGGCTGGCCCCGCAAAGCTTTGAGACTGAGCCCTGCGCACATTTGTCCCCGGGGTGGCTGGGAGTCAGGCTGCCTGTTACTGTGCTGACCAGGCATCTTAGAAAGTTAGAGCCAGAGAGGGTCTTGGCAATGATGAGATTCAACCGCTACTTAAGCCCCAAGAGTGGAAGATTCTGCGGGGTCCCGATGCACTGGCCCCGTGTGCCTCTGAGGCAGGATTCGAGCCCGGTTCCTGACCCCTACCCGAGAACCCTCCCACCAAACCTCCCCATGACCTCATACATCTGGAAATCAGATTTTAAACTCAGCTGACCTGCCTGGCCACGCGTGGCTCAGCAGTTGAGCATCGACTTAGGATCCAGGAGATTGCGGTTCGATTCCGGGTCAGGGCACAGGCCTGGGTTGCGGGCTCGACCCCCAGCAGGGGGCGTGCGGGAGGCAGCCGATCAATGACTCTCTCATCATTGATGTTTCTCTCTCCCTCCCCCTCTCCCTCCCTCTCTCTGAAATCAATATATATTTATAAAAAAACAAAAACTCAGCTGACCTGGCCTGCACAGAAAAGCGCCCCATGCTAGCTACAAAGGAAAGGCTAAGAAGGCAAAGGGAACTGAGAACACCCACCTCTGGGGAGGTGCGACAGGGAACACCTTTATTAAACTTTAGGAGTGCATCTCGTTTCAAACTAATGACTCGGACCCCTGCTGAACGCTTCACGTACATCACAGAATCCCCTCATTGACGCTTCACAGGAGCCCGGGAGGCATGTGTGACCCCTGCTCCCCAGGCACAGAAATCAAGCTCAGAGAGGAGATGCCCACCCAGGGGACGTGGAGCCGGGGACAGGCCATGTCCAGACCCTGCCAATTCTAATGGCATCAGTGGCAGGAGATCCCCACCGACCATCTCAGAATCAGAGCTGCTTTGGGTCCGTGGAGCGTTTTGTAGATTTCACCAGAAGCATGACGCTGGTGTCTCTGGTTGTTACAACAACCTCAACCCTTGTTGTCCCTCTGCCACACTCCCTGCTGAGAAGGGGCCTAGGCATGTACCCCATCTTCCCGCTTGTCCTCCTGAGCACCCTATGAGGCTAGGATCTCATCAGATCATCTCAGTTTGCTTCATTTTCAGATGGGGAAACTGAGGCTCGGAGAGATTAAGGTCCCACTTCTGCCGATCACAGGCAAGCTCAGGGCTCAGTGACAGCACCCATGATGTCCTAGGGCCAACCTGGGGAGTGGAGGAGTCCTCCCCGGGATCCTGGTGCCCTCGGGACAGGACAGGAGAGTCACTGAGGCACAGGGGACCCCAGCTGTCCCCAAGCCCCCAGAGGGCAGGGAGCCAGGGCCCCTCCCAGCTGTTCCCAACAGTCAGTAGAATCCAAGACTCCAGTTCATTACGGAGCAGAGCATGGTAATAACGTTTTAAAAGCAGCCTATGACTAGTTTATTGGTTAATGGCTCAAGGAGGAGTCAACTTGCTGTGGTAACGACCAGTTTCAGAGGGAGCTTCACCACCACAAGCTGCTTTATAGCCCCAATCGAGAGTCGTGTTTTTTAATTAGCAGCTACTTACAGCAACTCAGAATGTCACAAATCTACCAGATCCAGAGCCTCCCACGACCCACCTTCAGACTCCAGAGACGATCCCCCCTTAATTAGCTAATGCAAGTGACTTCCTAGAGCGGCCCCAGGGAGGACCCGCTCAGAGGGATGCCAGCAATCCCGTGAATCATGCACCCTCCATTCAAACGCAGTGGAGTCCCTGCTAACCGCCAGGGCTGTGCTAGCCGCTGGGGACATGACAAGAATGCCTGGGACACAGTCCCTGCCCTTGAGGCGGCTGCATGCCAGAACCTGGAACCACATGCTCGCAGCATCCCGTGGTCCCCCCTCCACGTCCACTGCGCTGTGGCAGGGCCAGAGCCATGGGGCAGGCACCCTGAAGCCCAACTCGGAGAAGGGCTGGGTGCGGGAGGAAAGGGACCCACGGGTCTGCAGCACCAGGAATCCCAGCCCTCTGCCCTCGAGCGCTCTCTCCGCAGCTCGGGGTTTCTCCAGGTAGTCAGGCGAGCAGCCAGGTGAGCAGCCTGCTTTGCATTTCTCGGGCCTGCAGGTGACCCTGGGGAAGCTTTATGAGACGCGGAGCAGCCAGCTGAGGAAGTACAAGCCGCCTGTGAAGCTGGACTCGCTCTGGCAAATGCCTCACTTCCAGAAGGTCAGTCCCCTCCCCCAGCCCCTCCCTGCCAGGGCGGCTGCCCTCACCTTGCCCGCCCAGTGTGGTCCTTACCAGTCCTCCAGACAGCGGGGCTCTGTGGGCTTCTAACCATCCAGGGGCACAACAGCAGCGGTGGCTATCAGTTTTCAGCTTCCCAAGTGCCCATGCTGAGGCCCAGGTCACGACCTTTCACACTCCCTGAAGGGGCCGCTGCTGCTGGCTCTGTCCCCGTGTCACAGACAGGACACAGCAAACGCTGCTAAGGATCCGTCTAACTACTGGAGCCTGGCTGTCTGTCCTCAGGGGTGGACACTGTCTGGGTCAAACCCCGTCTACTGATGGGGCCATCGAAGCACCACACCCTGCCCTGGGGACTTGGGGACGAAAGACTGCTTCATGGCACGAGCACTAAACGTCCGGCGGGGTGGCATCCTCGGGAGGTGGGAGCAAAGGTCTCCTGGGGGCTGATGTGAGGGTGTGACACACACCCAGGGCGATCTCCGACCTCAGAACTGAGTGGGGTCGGCCAGGTGGCTCTGCAGCCGAGCCTGCACAGGGGCTCCCGGGAGAGCTGGGGGCATCGTGCAGGGGAGGGAACCTGGGCGATCCGGGGACAGCAGCTTTAGGATGGGGGGGCTGTTCATGCCCTGCCTTGGCCCACTGAGCCCCTCTAGGGGCCACAGGGGACACGCCTGGCCCCGGGAAGACAGCTGCACAAAGCAGCCCGGGCCGGGCTGCCGTGTCGCGTTAAACTGCAATTTGGACAATGAAGGGGCCGGTGCCTTCCTGAGCCTAATGCAATCGAACAAGCTGCCGAGCTTCGCAGGGAAGCCTGGCTGCCCCCTTGACGCGGCCCCTCATGTCCGCCAGTGGCCTCTGTCAGCACGTGTCAGTGACCATTTGCCCGCCGCCCGTCAGCCGCGCCGCCCCCGTGCCCGGAACACGACTCGCCATTCAGGAGGCGCCGGGAGCCGGGGCGCTGCTGTGCCGCGTCCGCCCTGACCCCGCGCACCCCTCGGCTCAGCTCTCGCCGTCCCTCCGATGTCCGGCCCCCGAACCGACCCCCCCTTCTCTCTCTCACGGTTTCTGTCCACAGCCTCCTTCTGTTGCCCTTTTCTCTCTGACTTTCCAGCCCCTCGGCCCCTTCGCCTCTGACTTAGCATCTGCCTGAGCCCCAGGGCAGTGACAAAGGAGGGCTTGGGGTCTTCCCCAGGGTCCAGGGAAAGGCCCCTCCCACCCGCACCCCACAGCGGCTCCGCCCGCAGCAGGAGCTCGCGGAAAGAAAGCGCCCGCTCCTCTCCAAAGGAGGCGGTGTGCCGGAGCCTCCGAGCCTCTCCCAGCCTCCACCCTGCTGGCAGAAAACACTGCAACGGGCCGCATCCGCCGACCCGCACTGCTGGCCTCTGATTCGGTGCCGGGCACTGTGCTGTCGTTTACGTGTGCTGTGTCGCACAAGGGGCCCTACGCCTTGCGTAGAGGGAGCAGCTGGCCTGGGACCCAGGCTCCTGCGGCTGCAGGGCCCAAGCTGAAGGCCCTGCCCATTGTGCCGTAGACACCAGGGAAGAACAGGAATGCAGGCCCCGGTGCAGGGTGGCCCTCGTCGTATCCGGATGGTCGTGGGACTCTGGAAGCCACGTGTCACAGCCCAGCACAGGCTCTTAGACCCCCAGAGTGCCGCCACCACCGGCGGATGCTCAGTCCCCTCCCTGTCGAGAAATAACACCCACAAGAGTGTTTATCGAGCTCTCACCGTGCAAGACATCAGTCCCCATAGACATCATGTCCCCATTCTACTGACGTGGAGACTGAGGCTGAGAGGGGGAGGCCTTGCCCTGTGTGAGGGGATCCTGGGTTCAGCCCCGGGCTGCCTAAGCCTCTCCTCTAAACCTCTAAAGCCTCCTGGGGACTCCTTCCGTCACCACCTGGCCCCACCCCAGCAGGTCCCCTCTCCCCACCGCACGGCTCCCTTCCCCCCCTTCCCGTCACTTATCCAGACTGCAATCAGTTACCTAACTGGGCCCTTAGCTATTCCGCGTCCATCTTCCCCAGTAAAATGTGAGCCCATCAGGACCATGCCTGCCAGGCCCCCGCACGTCCCCAGCGCCCAGCACAGTGCCTGGCACCGAGCGGGGGGGGGGG